GCGGCTGGTTTCACGAACGATTGTGAGCATCCCATGAATGTGGCGGGCACGTCTTGTGTCGTGAATTCACGGCGCTAATGTGGAGCCGCCATTACATATTTATTTAGGTACCTATGCTTCATGACAAAAAAAAAACGATAACACAGCACATGAATGCTTTTGTAGCTACTTTTGTTCCTTACTCTTGTCGATTAATACGACATTTATCCAAAATTAAAAATACATTAAAATTGTTAGGAATTTCGATATTTTTTACCCAAGCCTAATTTGGGCCCGCGCCCGCGCCCTCGCCTTTGCTGATTTTGGGCGTCAATAGTCACTTGTTGAATTTATTTTCCTGAAAACATTATCTAATCATGAGTGAACATTTATATATATTATCATCATCATCATTACAGCCCTTCACAAGTCCACTGCTGAACATAGGCCTCCCCCAAGGTATGCCACAAAGCACGGTCCAGAGCCACCTGCATCCATCGACTTCCTGCATGTATTACCAGGTCGTCACTCCATCTAGAGGGGGGTCGCCCGACGCTTCGCCTACCGGTACGAGGCTGCCACTCGAGAACCTTTTATCCCAAACGGTTGTCGGTTCTTCGAGCTATGTGGCCGGCCCCTTGCCACTTCAGCTTACTAATCCGTTTGGCTATGTCGGTCACTGTGGTTCTACTGCGGATATCCTCATTTCTAAGTTTATCATATATCATTTGTCCATGTTCATCTTAAGACATATCCGTTGGGAGGCATTATTGAGCATAGTGCTTAAGTCCTCCAGCGATTTTGCCATAAGGACTATATCGTCGGCAAATCGAAGGCAAGTGATGTACTCGCCATTGATGCGAATACCGTATCCTTTCCAGTCTAGTAGCTTGAAAACGTCTTCCAATGCAGCGGTGAAGAGTTTCGGGGAAATAACGTCACCCTGTCTTACACCTCTATGCAGTTGGATAGGTTTCGTACTCTGGTTCTGTACTCGGATAGCCATCGTAGCCCTACTGTACAAACACTTCAGCACTTCGATATACCGACAGTCAACTTGGCACCGCTGAAGAGACTGTAGCACCGCCCAAATTTCGACGGAATCCAAGGCCTTCTCATAGTCCACATACGCCAGGCAAAGTGGCAGATTTTACTCTTCGGACTTCTGTCCAATTTGCCGAAGGGTATGTATGTGGTCTATGGTACTAAAGCTTTTTCGGAAACCGGCTTGTTCGGGAGGCTGGAAGTCGTCGAGTCTGCGTGCGAGACGGTTCGTAATGACTCTCGAAAACAGCACGTAGACACGGCTCAGAAGGGATATCGGTCTGTAGTACTTCAAGAGGGCGTTCTGCTCCACGCCTCGGGAGTAGTGCCTCCATGGAGGACGGAATTAAAGAGCTTCTGAAGGACTTAAGTACCGGTTTTCCACCCGCTTTCAGAAGCTCCGCTGTAATTCCATCCTCGCCCGGGGACTTGCCATTTTTAAGGTGCTGGAGAGCCATTCTAATCTGGCTCAGACTGACGTCCGGGATATCATCGGAATAGTGTCGGATAAGACTTACTCTTGGATCTTTACTCACACTTGCGTGTGACTCCAACGATGATGTGTACAGCTGCCCATAGAACCTCTCAATCTCATTCAGAATCTCAGGTGTCCCGGAAACGATGCTGCCACACTCAGTCTTCAGCTTTGATGGTTGGTTGACTGCTGACGGGCGATAAAGCTGCAGTCGTCACTGCAGCTTCATCGCCCGTCTTACATCCATGAGATTAAGAGTGTGATCGGAGAGTTTTGTGTTCTTCTGCGGTGGGTCTTGCAGAACTTAGCTCCGACCGCATGGACAGTTTTCACGAGCTTATCATTCATATCGTCCACTGTATTGCAGTCTTCTAGGCAATGAAAACGGTTTTGTAATTCGAGCTGAAAGTTTTCGGGACCCTGTATTAGCGCACGAGGGGGACGGAGCGTTGACTTCCCTAGACGAGACCTCTCCAACTTAACGTTTAAGTTCAGTGTGCCTCTAACCATCTGGTGATCGCTGCCAGTTTTCACCCTCGCGATCACTGAGACATTACTGAACAGTTGGCGTCTGGTCGTCATAATGAAGTCAATCTCATTTTTTGTCGAACCGTCGGGGTTCGACCAGGTCCACTTTCTGTGGGGCTGCTTCTGGAAGAAAGAGTTCATCATAAAGAGTCACTCTTTCGCCATAAAGTCGGCCAGCTGCTGGCCCCTACGGTTCCGTTGCCCTACTCCAAATTTCCCTAACTTCAGCTCACTGCTTTTTCTTGTGCCTAGTTTTTTTTTTGAAATCTCCCATCAACACCGTGTAGTGTGTTTTGGAGGAATGCATGGCTCTAGAAATATCCTCATACATTTCCTCCACCTCCTCATCGGGATGTGCCGAGGTTGGTGCGTAAACCTGTATGACCTTCAGCGAATACCGTTTGGTGATTCTGAGTATCAGGTACGCGACCCTTGTCGACACACTCCCAATCTTTACAACGTTATTGACGAGAGACTTATGGACGATCAATCCGACACCTCCTTGGGACAGATGGTCGCCGTCCCGGTGATAGAACAAGTTGCCGGACTCGAGGATTACCGTGTCCTCCCACTCTCTTCGGACCTCGGATAATCCAATAATATGCCAGCGCAACTTGTCCACCTCTTCTTCGAGCTCCAGTATCTTCTGGCAGTCCCCAGGGTGCGTGCGTTATATGTTGCTAGGTCGAGTCGTCGTAGGTGGCAACCGAACCTCCACCGGAGACTCTTAGCACCCCCCTGCTCCGCCATTACCATGGTCGCCACCGTAGCCAGGAATAGCAGGGCCGCCGGTGACTGGGGGCCGTTTGTTTGCGTCGTTGCTCATGGGGGGATATTTGCCATAGTTGCCACGCTTGGCGACCGGGTTTGCAACCGCAGTTTTTTTATTATATTATTGTTGTTATTAGGAAGATGCTGCTGCCCACCTCCTGTCTGTGTCCCTCTGTCGCCTCTTACGACACCCACGGGAAGATATGGGGTAGTGGATATTCTCAACCGCCACTACACGGCACAGCACATATTATACAGATCCGTAATAGTTTGCTTTTGTTATTTCCTATTTTCCACAATACAAGCCTAGAGCTTAGTGCAGTTACAGTTGTATTGTTAAATAATCTATGACAAAATAAAATTGAGATGATACTATAATAATTATGTTTTGCTAAATTTGGCAAGGAACACTTGAAATCATTAAGTGGTTTAAATAGTAAAACTGAAACAAATTAATATTCAAAAAAATCATATTGTAAATATATAATGTAAATACTTATACATAATAATAATAAAAGCCTTTTATTCAGACAATGTTAGTTTATACTTTCTTCCATATATTTTTTCTTTTTATAGACTAATTTGCTTCAACATCCCTGTCTGTGTGCCTCTTTTGACAAAGGCCTCCTCCAACTGTGACCATTTTTCTCTGTCATCAGCCACTCTTGTCCATGTGCCACCTGCAACAGCCTTTATTTCATCGATCCATCTTATGGATGGTCTTCCTCGTTTCCTTCTCCTGTTTCTTGTGAACCAGAACATTATTGTTTTTGACCATTTTTCTTTGCCCCTAATTGTATGCCCTATCCATTTCCATTTTAGTTTTCTTATGGTTACCGTAATGTCCCTTGTTCCGGTGTGTTTCTTTATGGTTGTAGTTCTTATTTTATCTTTCAGTTTTTTGCCCATCATACTCCTTTCCATAGCATTTTGGCACACTGCAAGTTTTCTGTTGAGAGATTTAGTAAGTGCCCAGGTTTAGCAACCATATGTCAATACAGGCAGTATACAAGTGTCAAACAGTTTCCGCTTGATGGTCATACTTATTTCTCTGTTTTTCATAATCTCTTTCAGACTCCAATATTGTTTCCATGCGTTTCCAATGCGTCTATCAATTTCTTTTGAAGTTGCATCTGTTGGCGAGATTACTTGACCCAGATATACATATTCATTTTCATAATCAATTTTGTTGTTGTTAACACATATAGGTTCTTTCCTCCCATTTGTCATGACTTTTGTTTTTTGTTCATTCATGACTAATCCCACTCTACGACTTACAATGTCTAGGTCATTTAGGATTGCCTGTAGTCCCTCTGCTGATGGTGAGAACATTATCAGATCGTCTGCAAATCTTAAGTGCGACAGATTTTCTCCGTTTATTGATAGTCCGCATTTCTCCCAGTTCAGGTGACGGAAAACCTCCTCCAGAACAGCTGTAAAAAGTTTGGGTGACATGGGGTCGCCTTGGCGTACACCTCTTCCTATTTTTATTTCCTTGCCTTCTCTTTCTAGTTGGATTCTAGCTTTGCTGTTTTTATATATGTTTTTTATTATTCTTACGTATTTATTTTCAATACCCTGGTTTTTAAGCGCTTGACAGATCTCTTCATGTTCAAGTGAGTCAAAGGCCTTTCTGTAATCAACAAAACCGCAGTAGAAGGTCATATTAAATTCTTTACCTTTTTCAAATAGTTGTTTTACCACGTGTATACGGTCTAATGTCGAGTAACCACTTCTAAATCCCGCTTGTTCTCTCGGTTGATTATCCTCTAGCGTTTTGGATATTCTGTTAAGAATTACCTTGGCAAAAACTTTGTAGATGTTCGACATTAAGCTAATAGGCCTATAATTATTTATATTATTCTTATCTCCTTTCTTGTGTAGCAGTATTATGTTTGATATTGTCCACTGATCAGGTATTATCTCACTCTGCAGTACTTCGTTGAATAGGTATGTCAGAATTGGTAAAAGGTGATCTTTATTTTCGATAAGAAATACGTTACTGATTCCATCTGAACCGGGAGCTTTATCGTTCTTTTGAGTTTTTACAGCTTTTTCAACTTCTGCAGTTATTATATCAAGTACTTCTTCTCCGCCCGCTAGGTCTGTTGTTTGACTGTTGCTTTTATTTGCATACAACTCTCGGAAAAAGTTTGTGGCTATTGAGATAATTTCGGGGCGTCTGGTTTCGCAATTGCGGTTTCTATCTGTGATACTGGGTATCCGCTCTATTTTTTCCTTCAATTTTTTGAATGCTTTTTTGGTGCCTCCTGTCTCTTGAATAACATCTTTCTATTAAATCTAACCTGTGTCTTTGGCGGTCTCTTCTCATGTTAGATTTGAATTTCTTACTTAAGTCAGCTATATCTTTCCTTGATGCTTTTGTTTTTTGGGTCATCGATGTTAGTGTGGCTCTGTTTCTTAACAATTCTTTGGTTTCATTTGTTAGCCATTTTATCCCTTCTTTTCTATTACTAGGGTTACTCTTCACTCTTGTAATTAATAGTTCTTCGAATTTGTTGTATTTGGTTTTAATATCTATATCCTTTGTGTTATCTATAAAATTTTCTAATTTTTTTTTAGCCTTTCAGTATTTTCTAGAATTGTAATGTTGCTTTGCTTTACCTTAAAAGGTCTGTTTCTCTTAAACATCTGGAGACGAAGCTTGGCTCTGACCATTCTATGGTTGCTGTTGAAGTTTAGGTTATTTATGACTCTACAATCAGTGAAATCATTACTTTTATTAGTTAGTATATAATCTATCTCATTTCTATATCGGCAATCTGGAGATTTCCAAGTCCATCTGTTATTATCTCTTTGTTTGTATAGGCTGTTAAGTACTTTCAGGTTGTTTTCATATGCCATTTGTATGAGTTTCTCGCCATTCCTTGTTCTCTTTCCTGAACAATGTGGACCCAATACAGTCTCTTCTCCATAGCCTCTGCTTCCCGTTCTTGCGTTGAAATCGCCCATAACTATCAAATTATTGTATGTATAATTTTTTATTGCTTCTGTTAACATAGAGTAGAACGAGTCAATTTCAACACTACTGGACTGTTCAGTTGGAGAGTAAATTTGTATGATTGACCACTTTGCGTTTTTGGGCGGTAATTTTAAGTTGAGTATAACAATACGTTCAGATAACCCTATGAATTCGTTAATGTAAAGTTTTAATTCTTTTTTGACCAAAAATCCTGTTCCAGATTGACCTGGTGTATCTCCTTTATAATATAAAATAAAGTCGCCATAATCCTCTATATTCTCACCCAGGCGTCGAACTTCACTTAGTCCTACTATCGACCAGTTAATGTGTTCCAATGCTAGTATCAGCTCAACTAGGCTTTCATTGGTTCTTAGAGAGAGGGTATTGTATGTTGCTATATTAATTATATTGTCATTAGTTATATTGTTATTTTGACGCGGTGTTTTAGAGTTCATCTGTGCTTCAAGTTTGAGTGGGTCATTTGAAGGGTAGTGGTCTTCTTCCCCCACGGTGACCGGCCGGCTTGGGATGCATTTCACAAAATTTGGTTTTGATAATGTTACGGTAGTCGTTTTGTTTTGATTCCGGGTGTCGATGGCAGTTATCAGTTTTTTGTAGTGTCTGACAGTGAAGCTGACCTTCCTCTCTCAACATAATTCAATATATTGGGTCTTATAATTTCTTTTTCGGTGGTTTTGGTTGATGGATATATTGAATTATTCACTGTGTTAATTTTCTTCTGTGTTGATACGTTAGGTGAATCAGATTTTTCTCTCTTCCTCTTTTCTCGGTTTTTGTCTATTGGCTTTTTCACTATTATTTTGTCGTATTTTAAGAAAGCTATATTTCCTCTCTTCTTTTCTTCCACAACCTGCAATTGTAGCTGCTTTCTCTTTTCTAGTACCTCTTTAGGGAAGTCTTCATTTACGTATATACCTGACGGAAGCTTAGACTTATTTTTCAGTATTATGTGTTTTTTCCATAATGTTGTGATGGAGACGACTGGGCGGTTTTTATTATTCGTCCTCTGCCCGATCCTATAAATGTTGCTAATTTCATGGCTATCTAAATATGTTCCTGTCTCTATTATGATTTCCTTGATGTAATCTACTAGTTCGATTTCTGTTTTTCCTATTTCTTCAACTCCAAAAAAGACTAAGTTATTCTTACGTTTCTCTTTTTCTATGCCATTAAGTTTTCGTTCCAGTTCTGATATTTTTGTTTTAAGGTTGTTATTTTCTATCATTATTGATTTCATTTTTTCGTCTAATGCTTCCATTACATTTTTCGTCACTGCAGAGTTTGTTGATTTAACTTCTCTTCCAGTTTTGACAGTAACAAATTCATACTTTTTCCATTTGGTTGATAATTTTACTTTCGTTATGGCAACACTTACTAATGGTAGTTTCTAGTACTAGTTTCTAGTACTAGTTTATATATATATATATATATATATATATATATATATATATATATATATACTCTGTGGTTGTTGTTGGTTGTGTTGGTATAACTGCTTCAGTTCAGCTCTATAGTTTATGACTATGATGATGAATAACACTTTTAGGTTATGTTGCAAAATGATATTTGCAGTCTTTTTTCACGAAATGTATATATTTCACTGTTTTCACTTCTTTTACTTATTTCGAAGTTTTTATTTTGATAAAATTATGTCGAGACGTCTTTAATTTAACACTATTTACACTGTTATTAAATATTAATCACGGAGGCCAATAACGCACGTCTTTACGATAATTTTACCGGAACCGGAAACTTATACATACTTGAATAAAATATAACTGAATTAAAAATTAAATTATATTAAAATAAAAAGTCATACAAATACATTGAGCTATTATGTACTACGTACTAGAGGCGACACTGCATTCAGCTACTCTGTTCCACTCAACTGCGATGCATGCACCGCACTTTAATCAGTCACTCGCTCTCGGCTAGAGAGAGTACTATATTCTTTGGTCACTCGCTAGGCGCTTGTAGAGTTGTCACGTGTTGTGTTGATTTAAAAACAAATCTCTTGACAAAAATATGTCCTCGTGTGTACTTTGATATTGCGCAAATAATTCAAGAAATGTCAGTAAAAATCAAAGAATTACTTTTCATCGGTTATTAAGATAATTAATCGATTAAAAAGTATTACAGATTAATAATAAAACAAATTATTCCTAAGTAAGACGCCATCTCGTGTCATGGTATATAGATTATGAAATTAATATGTTCAGATGCGACATTTCTGTGGGTACTTAAGGACGAATATATTATTATACACATTTTTTGTAGAAACATGTATAAGTTATTATAATTAGGCTAAATTTTTCATGTTTAAATCTGCTTATTATTCTTTTATTTTATTTTTAGGTTTTCACTTCAAAGTCAAAGTTCGTCCATTTTTAACTCTCACGTGCCCAGCATTTATGAACGACTCTTATTCTAATTTAAATAAATATATTTGTAATTTAAATGTTATGTTAATAAGTTTTGTTATCATACATTTAGTACGTTCTTTTATATTTGAAATAGATACCTTTTAAAATACTCCGATAAAATATCATTAAAATGTAATTGTGATATAATATTATGTAATATTATATTAAATAAGCAAATGTAACATACAAAATAAATGACAAAATTTAAATATTGTTCTCGATATAATTTACCTATTTAACAATACAATCTACTATTACCTACGGGTCATTCTACCTATGTTTATTCTATGATTAAAAAAACAACCGCGCGAACACAGAGTAGCGCACATTTTTTGTTTGAGATAGCTGTTCTAGTACGTAAGTACATATTACTTCAATGTACAAATATGAGAACCATACAACATTGTATATAACTAAAGGAATTAACAAAATGAAACAAAACGTACAAATATCATGTACTAATAAGGATTAGATTAATTTATTAACACATGATCTAAAAAGACTACAATGTAACGAAAAACATTTAAAAAAATTAAACATTATTTCTTAAAGATAAACTAAAACTTAAAGAAGCGTTTAATGCTATCCATCATATTATTCTTACTTTTTTGCACTTCTGGCGGAGTTTGATCAGTTGTCGTTTCACCCGTGCTCTGACGCTCATCAGACTGTTTCTTGTTAACTTCTTGAATACTGTTTGAAACTTCACTTTGTACTGGTTTTTGTAGATTACTTGGACTAGTGACACTGTATGTTTGCTTATCAAAACTATGCACATGCGTAATATTTTCTTTATGTTTATTAGAATTAAGTCTATAGTCATCCTTTGTAGAGTCATTGGATTCGTCAGAGCACCCGAGTTCCTATTCGTTCTTACCAACCTTTGTCTTCTTCGGTTGCCGTACAGGCTTATGGCGAACTAAATCTGTACGTCCAATTGCAATCATTTTCATTTCCCATGCTTCTAAGTCTTTCCTGGAATTAGAAAATTAATAGTGCAAATAATCTATATATAAAAATCAATTGGTGTCCGTTAGTCTTGCTAAAACTCAAAAACACCTCAACCGATTTTGATGAATTTTTGTGTATATTTGAATGGGTCTCTAGATGGTTTAGATTGCCATTCGAACCCGGTAGGTGGCACTGTTGTCACGATCCATAAAGCACCCGTGCGAAGACGGGATGGATCGCTAGTGATAAGTGATAATTCCGGAATGTTACCAAAATGTATCTTATAAAGAATAGAAAACCTCACCGACCGAGCTTTGCATGTCTATTTTCTCAGGGATCACAACTATCTCGAGAAACTTAAAAAGTAAAACATTATTTAAATACAAAATTTCATCTAAATTCTTACGAGCCGTTTCCGAGAAACCAATAACATAAATATATACAAGAATTAATTACTTAAATACGAAATCTCAATTAAATTATTAGAGCTGTTTTTGAGAAACCAATAATAATGTTCTCCAGACCCAATTCTGATCACGGCTCCCAGTTTTAACAGAGGTTAGCCATCAGCGTATAATAGGATTATAGAGCCGGAATGTATGAGTAAGCACAAGTGCACTCTCGATTCACTCACTCTCATAATCCGATGGGACAGTAAACCGACACGACGGACAGGGATCAGGCGCAGGACCAGCGTTTCAACGGTGATTTTTGATGCATGGGGATGAACAACAGCAAATCTCCTGACCCCGGGCTTCTACTGAGAATGTCTGAACAGAAAAACTCAATAACTGATTTTTTTTGCCCAACCCAGGTTTGAACCCGGGACCTCATGATCAGCAACTGCGTTTACGACCACTAGACCAACGGGGCGGTCTAGAGAAACCAATAACGTATATATAAATATAAATAAGAATTGTTCACTTAGTATCAAGATAACATTGAACAGGTTTATACGCCTGTGAGTTCTCACGTACCAGCTCTTACATCCTTAACAACAAAGATTATTTAATAGTGAACCACAGACCTATGTTGAATTTAGTTCTTTGTATTTGCTTAACATGTTGTGTATTTAAATATGGGCATAGGTCTCTACTCATTTCTGAGAGGATTATGGAGCATTTAGTTCGTCGCAGCTTCAGTGAGTGTTGGTGGGTTGTTATGTTTTATTCTTCAGACATGTAGGTTTTTTACACAATTTAATTAATTTTTTTTGTTACAGTTGAAAAATTAAAATTAATTATTTTATTGACATACATACATAATGATTACTGTTACAACATACTATATTGCGTCCCCCAGAATGGGTAAATCAAACTGCTATGGGAGTTAGGGTAACAGATATCCTATCCATAAAAAATATGAAAAAGCGCATATAGCCATCAATATTTTTTAATTTAAAGTGAAAAAAAATTCGAGTTTTCTTAAGTTTCCGGCTCCAATTATTGCGTTTGGACTTTATTTGCTTTTTCTTACTTATATTAATTGTTAGTGATTGCTTCGTACAATTATAAATAAACTTTTTAAAATAATGACTAGGCACTGGATTTTAATATTTTTTCTGCACTAAAAAAATTGTTGCTATTTTGACCAGATGTGGTTTAAAACAATGTATGAACCCTTTTGAACAGACCAATATAAAAACTTGCCCACTTAATGGAAATTCTAAATAAGTACCAATCATTTAATTACATTGAGGATGTTCAAAAAAATTTTTGAAGGCTATGTGCGCTTTACTTTTTAGGGATAGGATATTAGTCAACCTACCTCCCATAGCAGTTTGATTCATTCATTCTGGGACAACCTTTATAAATCACCAAGTCGGAATTACCCCAATAACAATTGACTGACAGAAACAAACTTGATATAGTCAGGTTGATTTACAATAATTTTCACATTGGTTAGCCCTTCTTAATTCTTTGTCAGCCGTTTTTTTATACACAACTGGAAAGGTATTGATAACAGTATACTTAGTGTCACCCTCAACTTGAAACGAGTTGCCCCTTATCACTTTGGGTAGGTATGTTTGTAAGAGCAGAGCTGATGCTCTGGCACTGGGTAATGCTACTTAGACTGTTGCTTCTGCTGCTGTTCATCGCTTTGATCTTAAAAACTGCCTATCAATCTGTTGCCGCAGTCTCATTCGTTAGTGAACACAGTGCTGGCCTTATGAATATGAAGTTATAATTTGGGGCTTAATATCATAAAACATTAATTGATTAATAGAGTTAAATTTCTATTAATGTTAAAAAAGGCCTTACGTATATTATGGTAATACATCACTTACTTATATTTGTCCATTAATGCTTGGGCTTGTTTTTCGTATTTTGTCCTTTCACTTTCAGGCAATTTTAACCAGTCTGCTTTAACCTTCTCCTGGTACTCTTTCATACTTAAATCCTTAAAGATATCCTTTTTTGTTTGTGAATAAAGAAAGTATGAAGACATGGGTTTTTTAGGTTTTCCCAATTCTTTAAATTCCTGTAAAGAAATATAATAAAACATGAAAAAATTGCGGTTTTTAATTCTGTACTTTTTTTTACTGAATTCTACTAATTTTAATTTTGTATTTGATTTTTTGCTTGAATTTTGTGTTCAATATTACCAAATGATTTTTACTTCGTAATTCATGTTATGTTTATGTAACATCCTGAACTACTATAATCGGAGGATCACTCAACCGATGCATACAAAAAATGTTCACTTTTTGTTAACCAGCAAGTATAAAATTAAAAAAAAAAGTACTGTACAAAAGGGGTAATTAAAATATATAATAGGAATACACGCTTAAAAGTAACTCCTGGGAGGTGATCGCTACCATGCTGCTTCTATTGTAAATCTTACCAGTGTCAGTAAAAATAATGCTTAAAAAATTATAATATATAAGTTATTAAAAATTAACTACTGCTTACAAAACAAAAATAATTAAAATTGGTGTCTGTAAAAAATCATAAAGCAAAAATATTAAAATAACACTTCAAAAAAATATTCAATAAAGACGGTTGAGTGCTGCCATCTGCTTGGGAGAGCACAATTGTTATAATTAATGCCAAATCCAAGCTTACCACTGCAAGACATCAAGACACTGTAAGTTCATTCTTACTATATTAGACCAATCAGACCAAAAATTTATAATTAAAAACTAAAGAGAGTCTGGGTGAAATATGACATCAGGGTGTCAAACATCTCAGTACCACCCATGACCATAGGGCAAAGCACCCGAAACGTCAGAAATTAAAATTATTAAAATCCATAATAGGTTTTATGCAATAGTCTGAAACACAACACTACTCAAATGTAAACCATTTAAATGTAAACTAGTTGT